GTGGACAATGTGGTTCAGCACCTCTCATCCTCTGCCTCTTTAGGCAGAGATCGGCTGGTGATCTCCTACCAGTAATTTGGCCTAGCTCGCTTTCCAGGGCAGGCTGTATGTGCGGGGAAACTTGAAGTGCCACTTTGTGGATGACAGAGATTGTCCCAGAATGGAATGTGTGGGCTAAGTTGAGTCCATGGACAACTTCTTGCTTCAGTGTATCTTTAACATACAGGTCTATCAAAAGGTGGGGTGGGCTCTGGGTATTCCTTTTCTCACCTACATGAGTTATGTAGAGTGGGTGTACGGGGCATATCAGGGTTGCCAGGGTTTTGATTTGGACACTTTTCTTAGGGTAGTGGTCCGTTACTTCACTTGGAATGCACAGTGTCAGGTTTCTATCCGGCATAAAATCCTTCCTGTAGAGGTGGTGGTGCACAATATTCTCTGTGAGGTTGGGAAGATTTCGGGTCTTGAAAGAGATAGGCTTCCATTCAATTTCTTAACCTAACCTCTTCTTTTGATCTAACACAATGGTCAAACACGCCTACTCACTCTGATGGTAACATACTAGATCTTGTTTTCTCCCACCTATGCACTCCTTGCAACCTCTCCAACACTCCTTTTCCCCTCTCAGACCACAACCTTGTCAGTTTCACCCTCACCCTATCCCCAACCCTAAATCCACCTACATGGCACACTGTCACCCGGAGAAACCTTCGCCATCTTGACCCTTCTCTTCTCTACTCTGCTACTGACTACTTCTATGACAAAATCTCACCCCTGTCCTGCCCTGACCTGTCTATTTCTGTCTTCAACAGCTCGCTCTCATCCTCCCTAGACACCTTGGCTCCCCTCACCACACGCAGACTTAGACCACGTCCACTACAACCGTGGCAAACAAAAGAAACCAGACATCTAAAAAGACATAGTCGCGCTCTTGAATGACTGTGGCGAAAAACTAGGCTTCTGCAAGATTTCACTTTGTATAAAGATGCCCTCCTAAAATATAATTCCTTCATCCGTGCTGCCAAACAGACTTATTTTGTTACTCCCATTAACACACTCTCATCCAAACCTCGTCAACTCTATTCCACTTTTAACTCTCTACTATGTCCCCCACCGCTACCACCCACTAAAGTTTCTCTCTGACACCCACCTCACCACTTGCCCCTTGGACCCTGTTCCCTCACCACTACTTCGGTCACTTTCATACTCTATCCTACACTCTCTTACTCACATTTTCAATCCTTTACTCTCTACTGGAATCTTTCCCTCTCCTCTAAATCATGCCCTGGTCAACCCAATACCCAAAAAACCATCAATGGACCCTACCGACCTTAACAATCTCAGGCCAATCTCCTTACTCCCAATCACCTCCAAACTCATAGAACGCCTTATCTACAGCCGCCTGAGCCGCCACCTCGCTGATAACAACCTTCTCGATCCCTTACAGTCCGGCTTTCGCTCCCTACACTCCACTGAAACCGCCCTCCTAAAACTCACTAATGACTTACTAACAGCTAAACACAGCGGCCACTATTCCCTACTCTTGCTATTAGACCTTTCTGCTGCTTTTGACACTGTGGACCACCTGCTCCTCCTCAAAAAACTCCACTCACTTGGCCTACAAGACTCTGCTCTCTCATGGTTCTCCTCTTACCTGTCTAAGCGCTCCTTTAGTGTCACCTACAAATCTAACTCCTCCCCTCCTCTTCCTCTTTCTGTAGGGGTCCCCCAAGGCTCTGTCCTTGGACCCCTTTTCTTCTCTATCTACACCTCCTCTCTTGGTCAGTTAATAACCTCACATGGCTTCCAATACCATCTCTATGCCATCTGCGTTTCAATCGGAGCGGGCGTGACATATGGAGGGTGTCTCCCCTGTTTACAGGTGGTACAGACCTGGCATGAAGAGACGTATTCTCTTACCGTTTTGTTCATCTGGGGCCACCAGAAGTGGCGTTGGATGAGGTCTAGAGTTTTTGTGATACCTGGGTGTCCCGCTAAAGTCCCGTCATGTAGGATTTTGAGGATCTTGACCGTCAAGGGAGGAGGTATGTACAGTTTTGCATTTCTGTACAGAAATCCTTCCTCGTCTCGTTCCAGACCCCTGGGGATTCCTGAAGAGGGTGAGGCTAAGCATTCCTTTAGCTGGCTCTTTAGGCTAATACTGGCAATGGCTATCCTATCAGAGGGTATAACAGAGGAGGGAGATCGGAGTGGCGGTTGAGTCTCTAACATGCTGGAGAGAGCATCGGCCTTCCCATTTTTCGTACCTGGTCGGTACGTGATCTGAAAATCAAATCTATTGAAGAACAGGTTCCAGTGGACCTGACGGGCCGACAGGGTTTTATTTGTCTGCAGATATTGCAGGTTCCGGTGGTCGGTGTATATTGTTATGGGATATTTGGTGCCCTCCAGGAGATGCCTCCAGGTTTCAAGTGCACATTTTATGGCTAGTAATTCTTTTTCTCCCACAGGGTAGTTGTTCTCTGCAGAGTTGAGGGATCTGGAGAAAAATGCTATGGGATGTAATGGTTCAGAAATAGCGGTTCTCTGAGAGAGAATAGCTCCTACAGCTAGTTGGGAGGCGTCTACTTCAAGCACGTAATGGCTCTCAGGGTTTGGTAACTTCAGTATTGGAGCAGAAGTGAATCTTTGTTTTAGGGTGGCAAACGCCGCCTGAGCTTCCTCAGACCAGGTGAACTGTACTAATGGACTTGTCAGGCGGGTAAGTGGTTTTACAACCGCCGAGAAGTTCCTAATGAATTTCCTGTAAAAACTGGCAAAACCTAAGAACCTCTGTAATGCTTTTCTGGATGTAGGGATAGGCCATTGGAGGATACAATCCACCTTAGCCTGTTCCATCTGTACACCATGCGGTGTTGATTTTTCAAAACTGCATTTTTCCCCCTTCACGTACAAGGAGTGAGCCCTAAGTCTAGAGAGAACCCACCTGACGTGTCTCCTGTGGTCCTGGAGGTTGTCTGAGTAGATGAGAATATCATCCAGATAGACAACGACACAGGTATCCAGGAGATCTCGAAAAATATCATTTATGAATGCCTGAAAGGTGGCAGGGGCATTGCAAAGGCCAAAAGGCATTACTGCGTATTCGAATAGCCCATAGCGTGTTCTGAAAGCCGTTTTCCACTCGTCTCCTGTTTTAATGCAAATTAAATTATACGCACCTCTTAGGTCAAGTTTTGTATATATCTGCACCGTCTGTAGTCTCTCTATCAGCTCGGGGATGAGAGGTAAGGGATAACGGTTTTTCACCATTATCTTGTTTAATCCCCTGTAGTCTATGATTGGTCTGAGGCTCGCGTCTTTGTTTTTAACAAAAAACATCCCTGCCCCAGCCGGTGATGTAGAGGATCTAATGAACCCTTTCCTAAGGTTCTCGTCTAAATAAGTTTTTAGATGCTCCAATTCCGGCTGGGACAAGGGATATATCCTCCCTTTTGGTATAGCTGCTCCTGGTATTAATTCTATTGGGCAATCGTATGGCCTATGAGGAGGGAGAACCTCCGCATTCTGTTTATTGAATAAGTCCGAAAACTGGTGATACTGACTAGGAATCTCCTCGGTGGAAACCTGTAACAAGGAGGATACAGGGTAACATGTCTCCTTACAGAAAGTGGAATCAAGGCTGATACCCCCTTTTGCCCATAAGATCGTGGGTTTATGGAGTTTAAGCCATGGTAACCCTAGTATTACAGGGAAAAGGGGGGAAGGAATAATATCGAAAGTGAGATATTCTGTGTGACTCCCTTTACATGTGATGAGAAGTGGCTGAGTTTGATTACAAATAGGCCCTGCGGAGGAGGTAGTACCATCTATAAAGCTCACAGAAAGCGGGGTTAATCTCTTTGAGTAAGGTATTTTATTTTTGGATACAACATTGATATCAATGAAGTTGCCACATGCCCCCGTATCCACCATGGCTCTAATCGTCATCCGTTCCTGGTCCCACTGTAGGGAGAGAGAAACGTAGACATAATGAGTGGATTTAAGGCAAGTTGGAGTCACCTCACACACTTGAAGCATCTTACCTCCGCTCTTTCTGCTAACTACTGGGCAATTCTCCACAGCATGCTGGGGAGAAGCGCAGTAGATGCAAAGGTTATGGCTTCTTCTCCGGGTCTTCTCAATTTGGGTTAACGTTTCTACCCTTTGGGTAAGGGTGACGATATGGCCTGCTAGCTCCGCTGGATTCATTTTTCTTACAAGATTCGGGTTCTATTATTCTGTAATACCGTGGCAATAGTAAGAATCTCAGCTGGGGAGGCTATAAACATATATGGTTGTTCACAAGGGTACGGCTTCAGGGTCGGGTTCCAGGCGTCACTCTCAAAGTCTTAAGCGGAGAGTTTGGAACCCTACCATCATGTGCCGCAGTTCAATTTGGGTATTTTCAGCATACAATGTTGAACTCGTATAACGCATAAGTCAGCAGATTTGTAATTCAGTGGTACTACTACTTATTGGAGAGAGAGTCCCAAATATACGAAAGTAATCCTTAATAGCAGTTAGTTTCAGCAATCTATGTACTCAGGGTATTCATTTCATACAATGGGTAGACTTTCATAGGCATACATAAGTAATCGCAGTTCATAGTTTTCTCCCCTAGAGGGAGTGAGAGTCCAATCAATGATAAACAGGCAATCCTTGCAAGTTAGTAGCAGTAGTGAAGATCTCGGCTAGCAGTAGTAGAGTTCTCTGTTACAGTCACAGAGAACGTATACTTGCTGTTTTTGCAGGGTTGTTGGCAGAGGTTTCCCAGGATCTCGGGGGTTCTTGGTCCACACAGCAGGGAACAGGCTGTCAGCTGGCGTTCACAGACGAATAATAGAACGCCATACTGACCCGGCTTCCTGCTTTTTATATGGATTGGAAGGGGAGGTGCTGGAGAATCTGGGCGGCCCGATGCGTTCCACGCTGGAACGCATCGGCGATTCATTTCCTGCTTGCGGCTGCGGTCCCTTGTGGAACGCAAGCCGCGATCGTTACAGTGGGAATGTAATGAGTTTTCCATCTGGCTTTACTTCTCCATTTCCTTCCACCTTTAAGAGGAGGAATGTGGTGCAGCTGAAACGGGAACGTGAAGATTTCCCACCAGCTAGGAAAGATGTTGCCAGGAAGATTTTGAACATGGGCTTTAGAGCTGAAGATATCTTTGCCCTGATTAGCCCTGTGGGTAGACGGGAATATGATGTCTCATTCTTAAAGCCTGAAACATTAAGACATCTTTTGGGAGAGGTACGATCAGCGCTGCAGGGGTCAGCCTGAGTGGGAGGGGTTAGCCCCAAAAAACTCTGGTTAAGATTGTCACAATTCTGGTAAGGAATGAGCCCATCCCACAGGCTGACCTCATTATGTGGCTGCGCAGATATAGTGAGGTTTTGGGGCCGCTGGGGAAGAATCAAGATTAATATGGCATCTGGAAAGGGGACTGGACTGCTTGTATGAAGCTTAAGTTAGTGGACAATGTGGTTCAGCACCTCTCATCCTCTGCCTCTTTAGGCAGAGATCGGCTGGTGATCTCCTACCAGTAATTTGGCCTAGCTCGCTTTCCAGGGCAGGCTGTATGTGCGGGGAAACTTGAAGTGCCACTTTGTGGATGACAGAGATTGTCCCAGAATGGAATGTGTGGGCTAAGTTGAGTCCATGGACAACTTCTTGCTTCAGTGTATCTTTAACATACAGGTCTATCAAAAGGTGGGGTGGGCTCTGGGTATTCCTTTTCTCACCTGCATGAGTCATGTAGAGTGGGTGTACGGGGCATATCAGGGTTGCCAGGGTTTTGATTTGGACACTTTTCTTAGGGTAGTGGTCCGTTACTTCACTTGGAATGCACAGTGTCAGGTTTCCATCCTGCATAAAATCCTTCCTGTAGAGGGGGTGGGGCACAATATTCTCTGTGAGGTTGGGAAGATTTCGGGTCTTGAAAGAGATAGGCTTCCATTCAATTTCTTAACCTAACCTCTTCTTTTGATCTAACACAATGGTCAAACACGCCTACTCACTCTGATGGTAACATACTAGATCTTGTTTTCTCCCACCTATGCACTCCTTGCAACCTCTCCAACACTCCTTTTCCCCTCTCAGACCACAACCTTGTCAGTTTCACCCTCACCCTATCCCCAACCCTAAATCCACCTACATGGCACACTGTCACCCGGAGAAACCTTCGCCATCTTGACCCTTCTCTTCTCTACTCTGCTACTGACTACTTCTATGACAAAATCTCACCCCTGTCCTGCCCTGACCTGTCTATTTCTGTCTTCAACAGCTCGCTCTCATCCTCCCTAGACACCTTGGCTCCCCTCACCACACGCAGACTTAGACCACGTCCACTACAACCGTGGCAAACAAAAGAAACCAGACATCTAAAAAGACATAGTCGCGCTCTTGAATGACTGTGGCGAAAAACTAGGCTTCTGCAAGATTTCACTTTGTATAAAGATGCCCTCCTAAAATATAATTCCTTCATCCGTGCTGCCAAACAGACTTATTTTGTTACTCCCATTAACACACTCTCATCCAAACCTCGTCAACTCTATTCCACTTTTAACTCTCTACTATGTCCCCCACCGCTACCACCCACTAAAGTTTCTCTCTGACACCCACCTCACCACTTGCCCCTTGGACCCTGTTCCCTCACCACTACTTCGGTCACTTTCATACTCTATCCTACACTCTCTTACTCACATTTTCAATCCTTTACTCTCTACTGGAATCTTTCCCTCTCCTCTAAATCATGCCCTGGTCAACCCAATACCCAAAAAACCATCAATGGACCCTACCGACCTTAACAATCTCAGGCCAATCTCCTTACTCCCAATCACCTCCAAACTCATAGAACGCCTTATCTACAGCCGCCTGAGCCGCCACCTCGCTGATAACAACCTTCTCGATCCCTTACAGTCCGGCTTTCGCTCCCTACACTCCACTGAAACCGCCCTCCTAAAACTCACTAATGACTTACTAACAGCTAAACACAATGGCCACTATTCCCTACTCTTGCTATTAGACCTTTCTGCTGCTTTTGACACTGTGGACCACCTGCTCCTCCTCAAAAAACTCCACTCACTTGGCCTACAAGACTCTGCTCTCTCATGGTTCTCCTCTTACCTGTCTAAGCGCTCCTTTAGTGTCACCTACAAATCTAACTCCTCCCCTCCTCTTCCTCTTTCTGTAGGGGTCCCCCAAGGCTCTGTCCTTGGACCCCTTTTCTTCTCTATCTACACCTCCTCTCTTGGTCAGTTAATAACCTCACATGGCTTCCAATACCATCTCTATGCCAAAGATACTCAAATCTATCTCTCTACTCCGCAACTCTCCCCCTCAGTGTCCTTGCGTGTCACCAATCTACTAACTGACATATCAGTCTGGATGTCGCAACACCTCTTTTTAAGGCACACTAACTGACATATCAGTCTGGATGTCGCAACACCTCTTTTTAAGGCACACTAACTGACATATCAGTCTGGATGTCGCAACACCTCTTTTTAAGAGGTGTTGCGACATTCAGACTGATATGTCAGTTAGTAGATTTGTGACACGCAAGGACACTGAGGGGGAGAGTTGCGGAGTAGAGACTCAACCTTTCAAAAACTGAGCTCATGATATTTCCTCCTGACCGTGCACCTTCCCCCAACTTTTCCCTTGAGATTGTTAACACAACTATCCAGCCCTCCCCCCATGCCAAGGTCCTAGGTGTCATCCTTGACTCGGACCTTACCTTTCTTCCCCACATCCAATCACTATCCAAATCCTCTAATTTTCTAATTTTGTATAAAATTAATAATCTGCGTGTTTGACATAATGTCAACAAAACATTAGTTCTTCTCCATTGGAGCATCTTTAGCTCCTTCCCCCATGCATTCTAAAATAAAAACAGAGTAGACTTAGGGGTCTATTCACTAAGCTGCCGAGGGCAGCCGAGTGAATGACCGATTTGAAGTGAAGTGAGCCGAACACTGTTCGGCTATTCACTTCAGGCTGGTACGTCTGATTTCAGCCGTACATTGGCTGAAATCAGCCGTACATCGGCTTGCTTACCCAGGCACGATATGTAAAGGAATTTTTCATTTTTATTGTAACCCTTTAAGTGATGTTAAAATCACTGCTCCTTTAAAAAAAAAATGTTTAACGTTTTTATTTAATTGATTCCTATCCCCCAGTAGTACCTGAATCTCCATGCACATTTCATATACCAATAAATTGCATATAAGGCTTAAAAATGGGGACATTTTATTTCCAAAGTTCTACCCACAATGACTTGCATAGAGTTCGAGTTCGAATTTGGACCCAAACCGAACACGGGGGTGTTCGGCTCATCACTACTTCTGAGTCCACTTACTTTTTCCACAATACACCATTACATATATTGATATCTTTGTTGAATAAATGATCAAAAAGGCCAATTATCTTTGTTTTTTTCAAGAATATTACCTCTATCTGCACGGTTTGTTTGTCTGTTCACAAATTTTTTTAAAAAGTCGACAATATCCACAGAGTATATTTCCTTTTTACAGGGCTGTATTTTGACAGATAGAAGTACATAATTATCACAAAGGAAACACAACTACATAATTACCAAAAAGCAAAGGGTATAATTCTAATATGCTTTCCCAATGCTGTGCACAGCTTAATTTGTTGTCCAGATTTGAGTCCACTTTTAAAAATCAGTTTTCTCCATTTTCAAGGATAATAGGCAAGGATTTGTCAAACACAGAGCATGGAGAGACTGACACTGACCTGGGGGACATGCACTAATGCAAAAACATCTTAAAAAACTTTGTTCCGCGAGGAGCAGCCCTTTTAATAATGCTTAAAGTGAAACATTGATAATTCTAATGGGGCATGCATCTATACTTGTACAGATGTGCAAGTTTGGGTCGGCATGTAGCCACGTGTAGATGCATCCTATCATTGAGTTTTACAGGCATCTACATGCACCAGCTGTCCCTCATGTGTGCAGATTTGTGCACATTGTATGGTTGTGCATGTCCATGTGAATGAGGCTTAAATGCTTGGGTTAATACCCTAAACCTGTTTATGAAGTATGGAAGTAGTAGTAATAAAGTAGTGCACCTTTTATAATGTTCACAAACAAGTGACATTTGAGAAAGAAAAAATAAATCCCATTTTCTGGTAAATTACATTGACCTGCCTGTTTGGAGTTTCTTTTGCAAAAGATGGTATAAGGACTCCCCAAAATAAAACAAAGGGAATAAGGAGATGAATACTGCTCTGGGGGACATGTTCCAATGCCAAAAAAAATCTGTTGAAGAGGGAGCAGCTCTTCTAATAATGTCTAAACTGAAACATTAAAAATGCAAAATTCTTCAAAATGGCACAAATTGGGTGAGGCCCTAAACCTGCCTGTGGAGGGATAAATCTGTAGGATGTGTAGGATATACTGCAGCAAAACTGAAATTGTCCCCATGTTGGTGAGGACAAGGGCTTCTTTCCCACACATGGTCCCCAAGAGGATGTGGGTGTCTGCAGTGGGGAGCTTATTGGAATCTGGAAGCTTCCAGCACGGGGACAGACATAGTCCCCACAAGCCTTTGCATATGGTTGCCTGAGACCCCTTCCAAGGAAGATCACGCAACCCAACCAATGTGAGTATCAGTATTTTAACCAATGTGTTAACAGATTTCTGTCTATACTCTGATAAGACTACACATAGATGGATTTCTCCCAGATCTCTGTTTTCATCATTTTTTTCTTTCTTCTATAACCCTGTTTTGGAAAAATCTATTTTCCTAGTTAACTTAAATATTATGGAAATCTGTAAAAAAAAGTTTAATTGCTGTTGCGAAAATAAAAAATTTAAAATTTTCAACCATAATGTGATTAAGCAGATACACAGGTAAAATGCATTTGTGAATGCCTATACAGTATGGTAAGATAGGATGACTGACACAAATGCATAATACAAATAATCAATACTTACTTCTTTTTTTGGTAAGATGACACAGATCTCTCTGTGAGATGAAAACCTTAGGTAATAAAAAAAGCCACCATAATTATAAATGTAAACTACAATCTAACATATCAGCTATCTTCTTTATAGGAAGGTTTCATAGTTTTCTAAGAAGCTGTTCAGGTATATTTTATAGAGCACATATACCTTGGGAATACATCTGTTTCATAGCTCCCAGGGAAATTAAAGCAGTCAGAAGTTAATTCCATAGGGAGAACATTGTATGTGAATTATGAATAGAGTTAAAGTCCAAGCCAGAGGACAAGGGTCAGATATAGTTTATAATATAACCTTTCGAGAAGAAACTATATGATGAAATAAAACCATTTATTTATGTTGAAAAGTACATACAGAAATGTTCTCTAAACAGGAGAGTCAACTGTTATCACACCTATGGTGTTAGAATAGTAGAGTTATAACATGCTGGACCTGATTTTGCTGCCACATACCGGACACAAAAATAAAAGAGATTTTGTGAGACAACTGCAGAACACATTTTCTCCTTCTTACTTGAGACACCTTGTGCCTCAACTGAGGAGGTTTACATAGCATAATTCCCACCTGCTCCCTGAACCACTAACACTCAACTCGCCTGTTTACAGTGCTTTCACCTTTAATTATCTCTACACCAAACAAGATTTTATAATTTCATGTTATTTTCTATTCACGTTTTCTAAAGTCAAATAATAAAACTATTTTGGGTTTTTCTTAACTCTTTGTATGTTACTATTTGGTTGGTTTTGCTTTTCTGGTGGTAATGTATAGGGATAAGAACTTGATTTCACTTTGGATTTGTGTTCAACAAATGCAATATAATGATACGGGTGATATGTGGGAACTTTTAAAAACTATTACTCTGTGCACCATACCTATTAGATAAAATCAGGCACACCTCATCTCTTTAGGACTTTATTTTACATTTTAAAAATTTGAGTTTTGTGTACAATACATTCTATTGCTAAAGAAATCTATTGATAAAAATTTGTTTATCAGTGGAAGTTCATGCAGCCCATTGACTACACTATGAGATGGTAAATAGGCGATAAGGAAATGGATGATATGAGGGAAGCTCTAAAAACTATTACTCTATACACTATACCTAAATTCAGGCACACATCTTCTCTTTAAGACATGCTTGTACTGTCATTGGCCCTCCTATTGCTATGTGAGAAACCTTCGCAAAGCTGACAAAAGCTTATTGCTCCCCACCAGTTTTGGCCCATAAAGTTTTTTTTTTTTATCCACAAACCTATTCAGTGTAAAATGACAACATGATGATCCATCATTATGTGTTCATTTTACCTTTTCAGACTGTGAGTTAAGTGTACAAAAGATTTAACTACACTATGAGACAGTAAATGGGGATATCCAAAAAATGCAGTACTATGAGCATCTATATAAAAAGGAACTTTCTTAGTAACTAACCAATTATACCTTCGATAGATGCTTCTCTGGAGGTACTCAACCCAGTAAGGGTCTCATAAACTCTTGGGCCACACTTCCCTTTTAATGTGTCTGACTGTACTTGTTTTCCTTCAACATTGACATGGCATCACTAGCCTTCAAGGTTTTTACACCTCCTCTAGTGCCTCTCCAGTTTGTCATGGATAGTACAACAGTAGATCATGAGTTTATCAGTGCTTCACTAGTGCCTCTCCTGTGTAAACAGGGAATCACCTTTCTCTTGCTGGATGTTTCTGGTGGGAATTTCCAACTCCCAAAACTAAGGTTGCTACATCTGGTTGACCAAGGCCAAGGTTCTTAGGCCCTATGGCATATCCAGTGGTCTTGCTTAACTCTACACTCTTAACCTCTCTGTAGCTTTTGTCTACCTCCTTTCACTACTGAAGTATTCACATTACCTTTAGACCAGGCATTCTTTTTTGGTGAGTAAGGAATAACTAATGTCTACACAGATTTAGCTAATTTTCAAACTTTCATTACTGAATGTCTTTGACTCAACTATACATAGAAGGCTTGCCTGAGGTCTTCTGGGGGAGTACAGCCAACTATTCTATACTTCTCTCGGCCAGTGGAAACCCGGATACCAGCTACATGACAGCTACTTTCTATTGGATAGACTGAGAACACCACTTTGCCACTCTCTATGTCTCAAAGATACTATATATGTGCAAATACATACAAACATGTTCAATATAGCATAGTAAAAGTGCAGTGCTCTCTTGTCAAGAAAATCTACCAACCACAGAGAGGACAGGTCAACCAAGGAATTTCTTAAAGGGTTAACCTCCTTTTTTTGCATATATCTACTGCTAGCAAGATGTAGATATTTGCAAAATATTTTTTTTAAAAGCTTTAAAAGCGGTTTAGACTTACCCGTGTCTTAACCGCGCGCTCCCGTCTGAAAATCTGAGAAATCTCGGGTGGCCGCAAAGGATCTTGGGGCGGACGCATGCACAGTTCAGATTTTCGGCCGGGAGACAAGGAAAGACACAAGGTAAGTATATGGATGGCGTGCACCTGCATGCAGACACCGTGGGACAAGAAGTGCCAGCAAGGACAGAGGAGTCAGCACTGCATCAGAAACCTGCAGCAGCACTGGAGGGACAGATGAAAGAAGAAGAAGATTGGATTAAGATACATAATTTAAGGTAAGTGCTTTAATTAACATTGGGGGAGGAAAATATTTTTTTTGACTTTAATGCCACTTTAAGTGAGATTCCCACCATGCCCTTAAGGACCCTGTTACAAAAGGAATTTAATATGTATTACATTTTCTGTTTTCCCCTGCACTGCAGGACTTAGACTGCAGTAGAGTAGAGAAGAACTGAGAGCAGACTCTACTGCATTGCACAATGTGTGTTTGTCTTTTTATATATAAGCATTACATAGTTACTTTTAAATGTTTAAATGTGTAACCATCATAAAAGGACTTCCTGAATGCCCTTTTTACCTCTTTATTTCGTAGAGCATAGATCAGAGGATTTAATGCAGGAGTGATGACTGTAACGACAATTGCACTTATTCTGTCCTGTTCAAGCGAACCTTTAGTAGCTGGTCTCAAGTAGGTGAAGACTGCAGTCCCATAGTATAAAAGGACAACAGTGAGGTGAGAAGTGCAGGTAGATAAGGCTTTATGTCTGCCTTGACTAGACTGGATATTCTGAAGATGGGTTGCAATAAAGATATATGATATAACAATTGAAATAAAAGTACCAAGTGCCACAATTCCAGTGATTATAGACAGCAGACTTTCATTGATATGAGTGTCTGTGCAGGCCAAATTCAGTAGTGGCTTGATATCACAGTAAAAGGCAGTGACTTTGTTGAAACTGCAAAATGTCAATCTAACAGTCGGTATTGTCTGTGTTAAGGAGTACAAGAAACCAATGAGCCAGGAAGTGAAAGCTAACTGAATGCATGCTTCCGTTGACATAAGAACATGGTACCGTAATGGGTTACAAATGGCAATGTATCTGTCATAAGACATTGACGTAAGAAGCATGGCCTCGGTGCTGCCTAAGAAATGGAATACATAAAGTTGGGCTATGCAGCCTTGAAAAGATATCCTTTTATCTCCCATAATTAAGCCTGACAACAATTTTGGGACAGTTGTTGTGGAGAAAAAGAAGTCCAAGAAGGAAAGATTGCCAAGGAGGAAGTACATGGGGGTGTGAAGGCCATGGTCAATAAGCACTACTGCTACAATACTTAAGTTCCCAAGAAAACATAAGAGATAGAACATAAGAAACGTAATAAAAAACAATATCTTCAGTTGAGGCAAGCTGGTGATTCCTAGAAGTATAAACTCTGTGACAAATGTCTGATTCAGCTCTTCCACTGCTTTCTGAAAGTTAAATACATGTCAGTTGTTAATTAAAGTTCTGGTTCTCCATACCACATTTTACACTGCTAAAGCCCAATTCAAACTTTAATTTTTATCACTGTAATGCAGTTGGGCTTTATTATCCATAAAGTATATACCAGTGTTTTCATTTTTTTTATGTACTAGTGTGCTGAAAGCCTTTGTTTAATTAATGAATGTGACACTAAACTCAGGAGTTAAAAGATAACTATGGGGCAACCATTTTTGGCTATAGTTCTCTTCAGGATCACAGGAGGACATATACTAATATCATCCGGTGACCCAAAACTCAGTATACTGCCCACTATATACTAAGAGTGCAGAACCGCGCCGCAGGCAGGATCCAGACAATACTATCGAGATACGCCCCACTGACTGATTGACAGCTGGGTCTGCCTCTCTAGAGGCAAAGCCAGCTGTGCCCGCCCCCTCCCCCACCCATTCCTCCAGTCAGTACTGGAGACATGGAGAAGGGAGGGGGAAATCCCTGTGAGGAGCAGTGCCTGACAGTCACCACTCTCTGCAAGGAGAGGATAGGGAAGTCAGTGATCAGCTGTATGTGTTTGCTGACTTCACAATCAATAGAGCCTACCTGTGACAGCTTTAGTGTCACAGGTCCGCTTGAATTATGCTGATGTTTTTTTCACTCACCCCATAATTTTTCTTTAAATCTTAAAAATGCATTCAAGTACCTTAGTTTTTCACAAAAAAAATAGTTTATTTTGTCTGTAGATCCTCAAATCATCTCTCAATTGGTGCTCACATTGTCCTTCCTTCTGAAGGGTGGCTACTTTTGTTCCCAATGGCCCTTGTGTGTTGTAAAGTAGCCACCACTCCAAGCTCACTCCTGTGATGGACTACAATCTCAATACAAATTAGTAAACTAAACATGAGATTGTAGTCCATCACAGGAGTGAGCTTGGAGTGGTGGCAACTTTACAAAACACTCAGGGACAATGGGGAACAAAAGTAGCCACCCTCCAGAAGAAAAACAGTGTCAGCACAAATTCAGAGTTAATTGGAGGATCTACAGCCGAGTGATGCAAGAATAAGGTACAGTTTTGGTAATAGCTGAGGCACTTGAATGCATGTTTAAGATTTAACTCCTGAGTTTAGTGTCACTTTAACTTATCAGACTGCTGGATCATTGATTATTGGAACACTGTACAGGGGGCATGTCATGATTGCCTTGTTTTGAGCAAAGGTCCAATATCCATTGTGTTGCTGCATCATGGGATTTTTTACAAATGCTACAACACAACATTAAAACATGTTTAAAACCCCACTGACTTCCTTACTATTAATGCAGCATGACTGCATTATAGTAACAATACGGTTCAAATAGGCTTTAACAGGTAATGAATCTTTCAAACAAAAAACACCACTTCAATAAGATTGAAAGATACCTTCCCTGAGAGAATCATGGAGGTTGGCATAGCTGACCATTCCTTCTGAAAATGACATGCTTTAATGTTTCTTGAGTTACTGAGTTGGAACTAGTATAAAGATAAATAATTCTGAACCTTATTTACGCAACAATTTCTTAAGCAGGAGTACAGCAAAGGTAGACCCATACTTCTCTCATGGTTCGGTCAATTAAAGCCATTCATTAGGATTTCCTGCGAGTCTCTGACATGTCCTATAACCCTTTTCTGTTCCCCTGCTATTTGCAGCCAGTCATTAGGAATGTGTCATGGTAGAAATACAAGTGTTGTGGTTTGTCACATGCACTCCATAAGACTGTGTAGACCTTTCTCTTTCTGAATTGCAATGCTCGAAGTGATGACACGGATGACGCCGTTTGTTTTCACAATATGGATTATTTGAATCACCAGCACTCACAGGCTGCAAAATTCTTCCCTGTCACTATGTTGCCCTAAAGAAGGGAGCCTGTGTAGCCCCGAAATGTTGGTGTGATTGATGTATGTGAGGCATGTTCAGTAAAAATGAACAAGAATTTTGCATCCTGTGTGCGCTGGTGATTACTTTCATCCATATGGTAGACATACAGAGATACATTGTTATAGAATTACCAAATAAGTTTCTGAGTTTTTTCCTTCACCTCTTTGCACAAAGGTTTTTTGGACTGGCTAATGCTGCACACACACACACACACACACACACACACATACACAAACTTTATGCAAGACGTACAAGAGTGTTAGAGTACTCCAGTAATAAGGTCAGTGTGACATCAGTTTGCTTTACACAAGCAATCAAAATTAAGAATACAAATTTCTGGTTACTACTACTTACTGGTTCCCATGCTCTCCAGTACTTTTCTGCAGTTGCCCCAAAGCATTTAGTTGATTCTGGTTCCATTTCAGTGGAGTGTGTTGTTCTGCAATGGAGGATACTGAGCCACCAACAATGCATCTCCATAGGCTGTATCCTCTATGCTAACATCAATATTGCCAGCTTCTGCTGTAGTGCACTTAGTGCGCCCAAGAAAAGGAAGGCACAAACTTATCATGTTGCTTGGGTTATGTCTCCCACAAAATATCTACTTGCACATTTAAGGGGAAATGAAAAAAAACAACACCATCCCTTAGTGAAGCACACTCATACTCCCTCCTTTGCTAACCTAGCCAGTAGGCTAAAACTACCGAGTGGTGTAAGATGTCTTGGGCATAAGATGGCCAGGAGAGTTTGTGCCCATATACTGTATCAGTAATTCTGTTTGCCAAAAATGTGCTAGTCGTTTTACAAAGTTGAAATGATCTACACTTTCACAGCTTAATTTGCTACCTCCCACCTAATTTAATTCAATAATATTTTTTTTAAAGAAATCATTATTTAGGAAAATCTAAAAAAACAGTGTGACCCTTATTTATTGACCTATTTATAAAATATATAGAGTGTGGGATTAAAAGTACAATTTCTGTTTTTACAGATGACACTTAGCTAAATAGTGGAATAAAGTCCTTACAAAATGTCTCCAACTTACAAGTAGACCCATATGCACTGTTTGATTAGGTATTTATGTGAAAATGTAGTTTAATGTTGATAAATATACAGTTATGCACTTGAGGGATAAAAATGTGCATGCTTCATGTATGCTAGGAAAGTACAATTGGGGGAGTCAGTAATCGAGAACAATCTGGTGGGTCTGTTAGATCGTAAACTCAAGAATAGCATGCAATGTCAAGCTGCTGTTTCTAAAGCAAGCAATTTCTTGTATTAAAAGGGGTATAGAATCCTGAGCGAGAGACATAATCCCGCTCCTGTACAAAGCATTAGTAAGACCTCATCTGAACATATTCAGTGTTGGGCACCAGTTCACAAAAAGATGTTGGGAACTGTAGAAAGTGTACAGAAGGGCACCTAAACTGATGGGAGGATGGAAGACCTCGGGTATAAAAAAAAGATTAGCTGAACTGAATTTGTTCTCTCTTGAGAAGTGGCTATGATCACTATGTTTAATATAGAATAGGCCATGTAGTGAAATTGATGGAAATATATTCATTTTAAAGGGTTATTAAACCCTTAGTGTGTTTTTCCATATATCCACTGCTAGCAAGCAGTAGATGTATGCAAAAACTTTTTTTTAAAAAACCTTTTCAAAGAGATTTAAACTTATCTGTGTCTTCGCCGCACACTCCCGTCTGAACATCTGAAGTGCCTCGGGCATGCTGCAAAGGATCTTGGGGCGGGCACATGCGCAGTTCTGATGTTCACCCAGGAAACAAGGAGAGACACAAGGTAAGTCTATGGTGCACCGTGCACATGCACAGACTCCATGGGACATCAGAGAAGAGGACAAAGGAGTCAGCGCTGGATCGGAGACGCGCACCAGTGCTGGAGGGACATCTTAAAACTACACTAAAGAAGATGAGCGGATTAAGAGGCATGATTTAAGGTAAGTCCTTACACCAACATGGGTGGGAACAAAAAAAATAGCCTTTAATGTCATAATTTTTCCTTCTCTGGATCGGCTGTGGGAGTTCTGTTTATCAAGGGTTTTTCTTATAATTTTTTTTCCTGGCTGACTATGCAGCTATGTAAATTGTTAGTTTTGGATGGACAACATTTATGGCAAAACTATAGGAATGTAAAAACATTTCTTAAGTCCATTAATATACTTAATAAATTAAGCATGATGCTAACATTTAAAAGCTGCTAGTATAATTACATCAAATATGTCTCTACATAATCTGCTGTGTTTATTTTAGATTTTGTTTCTGTTAAAATAGAACTCCAGTCAAACAATAAAAGCAAAGCAAAAATGCAGCCTTTGCTGTAATACTTACTGGCACTGTCCCTTGCAGTAATTCCTTTCATCATAAGATGTCATTAGTCTTCCAGGTTGAATGGTAGCCAGTGTAATTCAGCCCACTACATCTGGGCCCAGGCCACCAGGTCTGAAAGTGGCTGTCCAAAGAGGTATTGGTAATGTTTTAAGCACAATAATTGCATTGTTCCTTGGGTCAACGTGGTGAAGTTTTCTATATATGAAAAGCTTTGTGGACTTTATTCATGTTTAATTTGGACATTCATGTCCTTTTGCACAAGTTTATAAATAGTTTGCATTTAACATGAAATATGTTTAATATGAAAGTGTCATATTAAAGATTGTTACTTACTAGTGTGCATGTAACTTTTGTTAAATATAATTAACAATTGGAATATTCCATATAAATATTTATTATTGGGGGGCGTGGCTGGATGGCAACGTGAGTGGACGCATAGCACAAGAGCTCCGTCCTAGACCCGCACTAATCCAGTGATAACTAACCCACAGAATGAAGGAAAAGAAAGAAAAGAAGGGAAAAAAGAATAAAGCCTCCAAGGGGATTATTTTGGATCCTCCACGGGGGAAACCGCACCCAACCTCGTCCATCAAAACTTACTTTGAACAGACTGACCCCTCGGATGGCGGGACCGCAGCCAAGATGGCACCGGATCGCTGTACGGCCAAACTCGCCTAGCGGTCCCCGAAGGCCTCATCGTCCATGGGAGATGTGACCCCGACAAGCTCTCCGTCTTCCATCTCCTCCTCGATCGGGATGTTACAGCAGGACTTGGATCGATCACCGAGGAGTACCGGGCCAGAGCGGAAAGAAACGCTGACGGGGTATGTGAGTTACGAGGGGAAGGGTACTCCTATATCAGCTAGACGGGCCTCAGATGACAACCCTTCCTGTGGTCAAGCAGAAGTGGGATTCCCGGATGCCCCACATGCTGATTCTGCAAAGACCCGGGAGGCAGAGGCCTGCTCTCCGTCCTCATACCCTCAGTCTCCTACTCTGACAAGGCCACAGCCGCGTGACCATGCCCCGAAGCCGCAGCGGACTCCTCGCCCCAGGGACACTTGCCCCAGGGACACTAGCCCAACGGGTCATGCTAAGATTCTACAGGAATACATTACAGACCCTACCCCCGGCCGTGAACCCCTGGAGCTACCAAAGAGACAATACAATGGGAAAGCAATGTTATAACTGTTTTAAAGGATCCGAAGGAGGTCGATGTCTCTTTTCTACCTGAATGTTCCTTCATACTAACTACATTACACCATAATCTCAATCCTTAAGTAGTATTTTTAGAATGCGGGTCCATATAGTCGGACCTTGTAGATTCAACTTATTTCTTTAACTTTTTGGTATTTGAAATGTGAATGTATAAATGGAATATGTACTACACTGAGAAAACAGCATCAAACAACCCCACCCTATCTTCCTTTAGAAATGGCACAATCCTCTAATTATAAAATAATATCCCTAAACGTGAAAGGCCTTAATTCTCAGACCAAACGCAATTTAGCATACCGTGAATTCAAATCCTCGGGGGCGGACATCCTCTTTTTGCAGGAGACTCATTTTAAGCCTTGGAGTTCCTTTGGTTTTTTTTATCTAAACTTTTCCCCCGATCATACGCAGCTTCAATTTCATCCAACGAGCGGGAGTGGCAATTCTACTTAGAGAATCTTGCCCCTTTAAACCCACTAGGACTTTGATGGACAGGAAGGGCAGATATGTAATTTTAAGTGGAACATGGAATGAGATTCCTTTCACACTTTGCAATGTATATACACCGAATAGCGGACAACATTCTTTTCTCAGAATACTGCTGTCAAAAATTGCCCGTCTTCAACATACGTACTTGATCATAGGGGGTGATTTCAATTTATCCTTTTCGTCTACACAAGATTACCTAGCGGCCCCTCTAAAATCCATCTCGAAACACACAATGGAAAACTCTAAATTATTTCGTAAACTAATTAGAGGATACTCCCTATACGACTCCTGGCGTGTAGTGCATCCCACTGAGACACAATATACCTTCTTTTCCCACCCTCATAGCTCTCATTCCAGGCTAGATTATTTCTTTGTAAATGCACCAATTTTGCGCAACATGACTTCAGCAGAGATAAGGCCCATCACGTGGTCAGACCATGCCCCAATAGGGCTGAGCTTCCGACTGGACCCTACTCAAATTAAACAATGTCACTGGACATTAAATGAAGGCCTTCTGAAGGACGACTCCACTAAATTTAACATAGAATCGGCAATTCAGAACTATTTTGAGCTCAATGAGGGGTCCGTGTCGGCTCTTTCCACTCTATGGGAGGCACACATTCGAGGCCACTGTATTGCACTGGCATCGAAAGTTAAAAAAGATCGTGTAATGCAAGTAAAACGACTACACCAGGAGCTGAGTGACTTAGAAGATCGATTGACTCCGCATCCATCTAAGGCTTTGCTGAGACAAATCCTTCTAATTCGAGCTCAGTTGAAACACCATGCAGTCCATAAAACAGAAATATCGCTGCTTTATTTGAAACAAAAATACTACGAAAGGGGGAATAAAGCTCATACTATTTTGGCCAGTCAATTGCGAATGGAAGCGAAACAAAAGCAGATTTCGGCGGTTCGGGATTCCGGCAACCTCCTCCAACAGCATCCTCAAAAAATTGCGGAGGTCTTTCAGGAATATTACACACTATTGTACAATCTAAGGGACCCTGCTTTTGATGCTACAGAGGAGACGCTGGAGTCTCGCATTGACGAATATTTGCGGGAATGTCATCTGCCTGTTCTTTCCACAGATGAATTGGCCCTTTTAAATAGACCCATATCGCCTGAGGAAGTTCAGCTAGTGATTAAAAATCTCCCTAATGGTAAATCAAATTCGCATCCCGATGAAAGATCTTCGATCTCTCCAGAAGGAGGTCCTAGACTTCGTGTGAGGGGGGTGGCAGACACAGGGTCTCTCAGTCGTTCTTTACAGGCCAAAACAGGAAGGAGGACTGTCACTGCCGAATCTTCTATATTACTATGCAGCGGCTCAATTACGAGCAATTCCTTACTGGAGTTTGGAAAAAGCTCCTAAAATATGGACTGAGATTGAAGCCCTGTGGCTCTCACCTACACATCCGAACTCCCTACTATGGTCCTCTCCCTCTATCATACCATCCTCACTTCTCCTGGCTTCTATGCAATGCACTAGGGAAATGTGGTATAAATATTGGTACACATTTAAATTAGCCTCCGCACGATCCTCCCTTACCTCATTCCTATATAATCCATCTTTACCGTCAGGGCTTTCAAAAAGTTGGTCATCTATATGGACAGAGAGACAATTATTCCAATTTAAAGACGTTATAGACTTCACCACTAGGATCTTAAAACCATATCCGCAATTACAGGTGGAACATTCTCTCCCCTCTAAGGCTCTTTTCCAATACTTGCAGATTAAACATCTAGCTCAAACCATTACAAAAACTTTCATCTTTGACAAGCCTACTCCATTCGAAAAAATTTGTACCACATTAGCTTCCTCAAGAGGGTTGATCTCAACGATCTACAATTTCCTAAATAATCCGGACCAGAATTTTCATAAACTTCCATATATGATCAAGTAGGAATCGGCATTGGATGTGGATCTTACCCCAGATCAGTGGAGTATGATTTGGCGCTCAGCGTCAAAATCCTCTATGTGCTCGCTATATAAGGAAACTCAATACAAGATCCTATTTCGGTGGTACCAAACACCGGAATTATTGCATTCCATATATCCTAACATATCACCCTTATGTTGGAGATGTGCCTCCGTTGCAGGATCCCTGTTTCATATATTTTGGACTTGCTCTTCTATTCGACCTTACTGGGAGATGATTGGTACTAAATTAAATAAGACATTCAATCTATCACTCCCTTTTCTTCCAGTACATTATTTATTAGGCCTTCCCTTCCCAAATTTAAATAAATATGAAAGGAAATTAGCAACACACCTGTTAACGGCAGCGAGATGTCTTATACCTTTATTTTGGAAACGGCGTAATCCCCCTACAGAGATGGACTATATGTATAGGGTGAGAGATGTTCAGAGAATGGAATACTTAACTGCAAGAATGAATGATACCACTTCCCACTACCATAAAGTATGGGAGATATGGGAGGAACAAGAGACACTACCAACTATTGGATCAATGGATTAGGACTTCGCAGTCTTAATGTATGTCGTTTTGGAAGTACCCCGGAGCAGAGAAATCTTTCCTCTAATCTTTTCCTATTATTTTCTTTATATATCTAAGTGAATGGACATGAATCTTTTCTATAAAAATGATACATATTGTGGTAGAAGCTGCTGCTCTATTTTTATTGCAAGACAAACTGAAGAATATGCAATTAATATAGTAACTGTGCTTCAATGTGGATAATGACACTTTTTTATTCTCTTTTTCAAATCAATGGAGATATAGAAGGTAGCTTCTAGAATGCAATTCAACATCCCATTCACATGTCTAATGTCTATTGTGTTATTTTTGTGACTTTGCTTATTTTTATGCATTATTGTGTATTTTGTATCTTTAACAATTTTCAAAATAAAAAAAAATTCAATAAAAAAAAAATATTTATTATTTACATTTCCAGCCAACATGTACAGCACTAGGCACCTTTTCACATGTTACCACTGTAATCTTACTTGCTTTAACTAAAAAGCCTGTTTATAGAGCTCAGTAGCTCAAAACGTATATTTACGTGTACAGAGTACCACAGAAAAATCACTCATCCCTTCCTGTTCAGAGGGGGGCTATAGGAGGATTCAGTTAAAGACATTCTGAACATATCTGTAATGATCTCTTTCGATCTCATAATCCTCCATACCAGCGTCATGGGGGCACCCTGTTTTAAATTTGTTTTGTAAATTTGTTTTGTAAAATAGGGATTTTAAATATAAAAAAAAATCAAAACATCAGTTTAAAATTCATGAACTTTTGTATTCCTTCTTTAATTGTATGTAACATCACAATACTAATAGATAAACCTAGAAATATAATTGAAGTATTGGCTTATTAGTTTAGCTTTTTTTAAAAAAAAAAATCATATGCATCTATTGTACTTGTACAGAGATAGAGCAAATGAGGATATATTGAAGCATGCTGTCCCAATTATATTATTCCGATAATCCTTTGAAAGGGAATGTATAGTTTTTTTGTTTACTTAGATATATAGTATATGTAAAAGAAATCTGCTTGATGTAAATAATCTTATCAGTGTAGTTTCTACATGTCCATAATTTGCAATTCCACACATTATATTTTACTGCCCCCTAAAACAATGCAAGCTGGATTGTCAGTGAAATTACTGAGAAAAATGTCACTCCCTGTGCTGGTGACACACACAGCTGTAAAGCATATGTTACATAGAGTCGTTTTAGCTGCCAATCTGCCTGCCCAGTGGCTAATCTACATTTAATAAAACAACAATGTTGTAGAAGTAAACGTGTTTAAAAATATTAAAGCCTCATCAAATATTTGGAAGTAAACATGAGGAAAATACAATATTAAAAAATAGAAATGACAACCTCTGGAAATGCTAGCTGCCTGACTGTAATGCCGCTACATGAGCTGACACTGTCCAGCAAAACCGAACAAGAATACAGATCAGCAAAGTCAGTGATCTGCATATGCATACTGGTTCTATGTTTTTTGCTTTAAAGAAGAA